TGTTTCTTTTTTTTATTAATAGCAGACCTCAGAGGCAAGAAATGCAATGACTGCTATCCTTTAATTGAAAATAACACAACCCACGATATGCCATTTAGTACTTCGCTCTATTATTTATGATTGCAAAATATTTTACCCCCGGGAAACATAATATCGAGTTACTGAAAAAGTGACTTTTTAAAAAATAGAAAATACGTAAACTTCCTGCAATTTTAAATATTTTTATTGAACATATCTAAGGCTTTATATAAACAGCATCATTGTTACGATAGTTATATGTGTCAAAACAGATGTTTCTGGAGAATCCGTCACAACTCCATTTATTTACTATATATACTCTAAATTCGTTTCGAGCATTCGCTCATTTTCTTTTTCTCTTCTTTCCTTTTTCTTTTTTGTCCCTTTTTTTTCCTTCCTTTCCTTTTATTATACATAACAATAGTGATAAATCGTGAATTTGTATGCTCTTGCATCCGATACGTTGTAATGGCTCGACTTCATTACTTCATATCCTGTTTCTAAATATAAAAAGACCGCAGGTGAACGGAAAATGTGAAACTTAAGTTTTCGAGACTACCGCCTTTTGCTTATAAGTTAGTCCCTATATCGAACTTTCGCGTAAAATCCATTGAAAGTGCACTACTTTTAGATTGATATACTGTCAGCATTTTTTCTCGGTCGCAATTCATAATATTGTACTTAAACCATTTCCTAACTTTAAACTTCCTGCAATGAATTGGAGAGTCAGTTTCCACCTGTGCTATTGTCGGCCAGTTTTTTAAGCTTTGCAAAAAGAATTAACTTCTTTCGGTTATGTTTTATATTGCACCATTAAAATAAAACTGAGAATTTCAATTTAATTTGTGAGCTACCTGTCAAAACTAATCAACATGACAAAGACGGTGTTTAAGATTATGAATTAAAAATTCCTTATGACATCTCTGACCAGAGAAAGGTAAACTGTGAAGTCTAAATTGTTCAAAATTGTCGATATATGGATATCAATATTGGACATCGGATTTTACTTTCAGAGGAGAAATACAATATGAATGTATATGAATTGACAATCTTGTCCAAAATGTTTTGTGCAGTTTTTGAATCAAACAACGTTTTGTGGTTCTCCAATAACTTGCATGTTGCCCTTCAGACAAGTGTGCTTTGTAATTTATACTTCGCAAAATGTTTGTCACGTTAAAGCTCTCCTTTCAGTGATAGTCAAGACTGTTTGAAGGAGTGAAAAGTTACTGAGTATAAGCAGCTGTAGCAGAGACGTTCCCTTGGCAAGTCAGGCCTGAGTAAGATTTCAATGATCCAAGCAAGATTTGAGTTTTTCATGATATATTCGTTTTCTGGGCTTCAAATTAGACAGGAAGGACAGAAACACTCAAGTTCGCACATGCGGCGGCACAATAAGGAAATTTCATCGGAGTCTTACCTTGGAATGTTCCTACCGAAACAATTAAAAAGAGCCTGCTTGGGCAAGGATGGTAATTTGATTCTGAATCTTAAGGAAAGCACTCTAGACATTTGAAGAACCAAGTAAGAAATAATCTTCGATGGATCAAATCATACAGCAACAAGGAAGTCTACTTGTCAATATGTCATATGAAGCATCCTTAACGACAGAACTGTTAAGCCGGAACCTTTTTTCTGTTATTTCAGAATCAGTTTTATTCCTTTTTATCAACATTGTTGCAATAGTGGGAAACTTTTTTGTGATCTTGGCTATTTGGAGAAACACTGCTCTTCGAAAAATCACAAACTGGTACATACTATCTTTGTCGATATCTGATGTGTTTGTTTCTGTCACTTGTATGCCGCTTTCTTTAGTTGTAATCATGAAAGGAAAATGGTTGTACGGTGACGTCACATGCCAGTTCCAAGGTCACGTGATGCAAATATGGGGTTGTTTTTCATTAACAATAGTCGCAGCGACTGCTTTCAATCGATATTATCGCATTTTGCATCCTGTACGCTACAGAAATATGTTCACAAAACGCTTTGCTATAATAACTGCAGTGTCATCCCTTTTCTTGTCTGCCCTCGCTTCTGTAGGGATAACGTTTATTATTGGCGCGCGGTTTCAATTTGGTCCCCACACGTTCTGCACCCCACTTTTCTCTGACCAGAAAACCAAGAAAACAGTCGCGCTGCCAATTTTTATGACTTTTATAATAGCTTCACTAACCATAGTGATATTTTGTTATTTCAAAGTGTATCGCGCAGTTCGTCGGCATGTTATTTTAGTAGCGCCGACACTACGAACACAAATACAAAGTCGCCATCGAGCTGGAAACAACTACTCTTGTCGGATTGAAGAGATCAATTCCACTAAAATGGTGTTTGTAGTCGTCCTTGTTTTTTGCCTAATTTGGCTTCCTTTATCTATTATCGCAGCATTGTATGTTTGTGATGTTTTCCTACCTCTCTGGACACACTTAATGTATGATTATCTATTTTGTTCAACTGCTGCCACGAATCCGTTGATTTACGGCCTCATGAATAAGGCTTTTAGAAACGAATACCTTCAAATAATCAGGTGCAGAAAACCTTTGTGAGTTAGGATAACGACTTCCAGGATCATAGATGCTACGTGTGGAGATATTACGGAATTTAAATACCCGCAGAAACTTAAACACATCAAAGGCATCACATGAACAGCAAGAAGGATTGTGAAGTTTTTCTTGTTACAAACTGCCGTTCATTGTGAACTTCAGCCAAAATATATGATTAAACTTTTCAATTTGTAGAATCCTTGATACAATAAACAAGTTATAAAAAATACCCACGTTTGTGAGCGTAATTTTTCACCAGTATGTAGACTGGTTTAAACACTGGCGTTAGTGTAAACAAGCAAAAACGCACTTGCAAATTTTTTGTTGCTGTTATCTTAGGACATTATGACAGAGAAATGGAACAAGCACACGACGTTGCAATTTACATCATGTGAGCTCAAGGATCTTAGATAATTAATATCATACGTATATGAATCACGTCGGAATTAATTCTCGTCCATCTGTTAAAAACAGATATCATTGTTTCAGGGGACCACAGAATTTCAATTAATCTGCAATATATATCATTTCAAAAAAGGGCTTCAGAATTTCTGCAGCATCACGTCAAGCTGGCTGCGGGATTTCCGTAGCATCAAATCAAGGGAGCATCAGATCAAGAGGGATTGAGAATTTCTGCACCATCAGATCAAGGAAGCTGCAGAATTTCTGAATCAACAGGGTAATTTCTGCAGCTCCAGATTAAGGCAGCTGCAGGATTATTTATGCAGTTTCAGATAAAGGGCTCCGCTGAATTTCTGCAGCATCAGATCAAGGCGGCTGCATAATTTCTGTGGCATTAGATCAAGAGAGCTGAAGATATTTCTGCGGCAACAGTTCAACGGGGATGCAGGAATTCTACGGTATAAAACTGTAAAGCAGGATTCCTGCGGAATCGGATCAAGGGAGCTGCTGGATTTGTGCGGCAGTAGATCAAGAGAGCTGTAGAAATTCTGTGGCATTAGATCAAGGGAGCTACAGGATTTCTGCGGCATAAATTCAAGGGAGCTGCATTATTTATTCGGTTTTAGATCAAATAAACTGTAATAAACTGTGGTGGTGAACAGTATCGAAAGCTTTAGTTAAATCTAAGAACGAAGACACCACATAGTTTCCCTGATCAAAAGGAGTAGTAATTTCTTCCGTAAAATCAACTGAACAGTCGAATGTTGAATTTCCTCGTCTAAAGCCTTGCCGTATTGACACGGAGAAAGCAGGTTGTCACTGATACAATAGGTCATGAGTTGATTGAAAATACATTTTTCAAAAACTTTGCAAATAGTCGAAAGTATTGAGATAGTTACCACATAAAAGCCGCAAACCTTGTTTAACTATAGGAACTACGCTGGCGAGCTTCATACTATCTGATGGAAGCTACCTTTGATGATTAAAAGGACGATATATTTGCAGTGCCGCGCGCAGTTCTTAATAGGAATGGATGAACCTTTTCAATCCCAAACGATTTCTTTGAATCCAGATCTTCGAGCATCAAACTGAGACTTCTATTTCAGAGATTTGAGAGACTGATGAGGAACCGGAAGTAATAATGCCGTGTTTGTAGTTACTACGCATGACAGGAATAAGGTATTGACCATAAATGGTCTTGTAGGAAAGAGTGAGCTTCAGCAACCATAAATTTTGATTTCTACGATCTACCGTAGAAATGAATTTGAAATAATTTACTCCTTGCCGCATCTTGAGTTACAAATAAGTAACCGAACTGCTCGCAAATTGTGTACAGCAGTACTCAAAATATGACAAAGCATTCTGTTGTTTTGAAAACAACTCACAGTAACCAACTCATCTTCATTATGAACATTCACACTAGTACAGAGACGACTCCTCTCAGTTTTTGCTTTGGACCAGTAAGACGAAATCTATTGCCAGTACTAGAAAGGGCGCCATAAAACCAGAAAAACTTCCAGGCTTGAGAGTTATATGTTGATAAAGAACGGAGATGTAGCCCCGACGACCCAAAATGTTAAAATTGCTTGTTTGTGCGCTCTATCATGAAAACGTCTGTAAAATACCGCGACTTTGTAGAGCCATACCCTCGATCATTGGTTTTCACAGATCACTCCCAAACCTCGCAGTTTTAATTATTTCAGGCCTCTTTCAAACAGTGGCGATGAATTTCTGCAAAATGAAAGACGAATTTTACGAAACGCCTGGTACATAGTTTAGTAACAGTGTGCTTTTTGATTGGGTGTCACAAAATCAAAACGAAAGTAACCACAACGGTCAACCAGATAAGGGGAAATGCTACGAGCACCTTATACTCAAACTAAAAGCATGAACAGTGCTTCAAATGCGAAAAAACGCGGATGACCAAGTAACGATTGGTTTTGGTTTTGAATCTGATTGATTAAGAAACTGACGAGAGTTTTCTGGACCAATCACGTGGCGAAGTAAAGCAAAACCAAAGCAATCCCGGACTACTTTCGACACTCAATTGAAATTTGGTCTATCAATTAAGAGAGTATCAAGCGCTTGATACTTTCTTGTATCTACTTCGCGTACATTGCAACCACCACTGGTTCCTTGACCTCCAGCACATAACATTGACCTCTCATCGATAGGAACTATTGCGCCATTACGTATGCTGCAATCACTTTGACTACCAACAGGCAGAGTTGCTTGCTGAAGAATGTCAGCCGAAGGTCCAGATGGAGTGGTTCGTCCCCAGCCTAAAAGATTCATTTGGTAACTGTGATGAGTTGTATTTTCCAAAGAAGCACGGAATTTGTTCATCTTTACAGAGCAATTTTCTGCTGAGTGTCGAAAGTAATCCGATTCTGCTTCAGTTTTGCTTTACTTTGCTCTGTGATTGGTTCAGAATACTCGCGCCACCCTCTCAACCAATCAAATGCCAAACTAAAACCAATCACCACTTGATCACTTAAGTTTTCCCGCGCTTTACGCAGTGTGCTTATATTTACTTCGAGTTCTCTTCGGCTCTTACGGGTATTTTCCTTCCTTCTGATTGGCCGTATAGACGTATAGTGATTACTTTAGTTTTAATTGGGTTTTGGTTGTACGACACTCAATCGAAAAGCGCTCTATTAATAGAACAAAGCCTGATAGAGTGAGGGATATTTACCTGTAATTACACATAGTCTTCCTGGTGGAATTCTAGATCCCTGTGGCGGCAGACAGGCCAGGTTCACCTTCATGCTCAGAGTGACATTCCCATTTAACTCCACTAGAGCAATGTCATTTTGTAATGTGTTCAAACTAAAGTCAGGATGCGTAATAATCCTTTTGACCGTGAATACTTCTTGAACAGGCGTTGAACCGGACAAGGAATGTGCGCCTGCAAGAAGGCAAATGCGTTTCATACTTTTTCTTTCCTCGTGAGCCGCCCTCTGCGAGGGTCTCCTTCGCCATCCTTTTTCAGGAGTGTCACACAACGCTTCTTCCGTTGCGTGACATTGAAAAGAACGGTGGCAAGGGGTATTACCTCTTTAAGGTCGAGAAAAGTTCCATATAGGGGTTTTATTTTTATTTTATTTTTATTTCATTAACTTTCCCAAAGAATAAGATAAATGACACTACAAAAAAAAGTGTACATATATTTACAGGAGTACAGGCGGGGACACCGCAACAGCGAGCGCCAATTACTGCAGGCCTAAGTCATAGGTCGTTAAAAAAAATGTAAAAACTACAATACTATCAAAAAACAACAGGAAAGAGAAGTGGAGGATCAAGGCTCTTTAAGATTGGTTGGATGGAGGGGGCTAAACCTCTTTTAAAGAATTTACAAGGGAGTCAGCAGTTTGAGGTTTTGCAATTTTAATGTACAATACCAGTGAACAAGACATTAACTTTTCTCCCTCCTTTCCTACAACAACCGTGTATTAATACTTGGTATCCGCCCCGAAGGGGATTACCTTTAAGGTTATGAGAAGATCATTATGCAAGGGGGAGGGGGAAGAAGTGAAAGGTCAAGGCTGTTTTAGATTGACTGGAAAAGGTGCCTTTATTTTTTTTATATAAAGAATTTATTAGGGTTAGCATTTTGCAGTTTTGCAAGAGTACATTACTCATGAACAAAATGTTTAGTTTTTCCCCTTCCTTACCGACAACAACCCTGTATTCACTTATTATCGGGTAAAATAAGCAGTGTGCAGCAGTAAGCACCCAGTTTGGTCTGATCAGTGAGCCACCACAAGAGTGAAGTCCTCCTATTCTGAGGGAAATTATCCATGGCCAGGAGTTGGCAGTGGCGTTGACACCACCAATCACGAGGCCTCTAAAAGGGCGGACGCCACATCCTACATGGAAATAGAAGACGACTTGTAAATTGCTTGTAACTATAGATTCAGTCTCCTTTAATAAATGATGCTTTCTTAGACCTCTCCATGTAAGACTTCTGTTTTAACGATTTTAAATAGCAATACACTTTTTTGATATTCATTGACATGTATCTATCAAGCCTGAGAAAACAGCCGACATTTGGCGACGCTACCACTGGTTTTCCCGGCAAATGACGTCTGAGAAACAGCGCAGGAACTCCATACTGATGACTCGTCACTACCCAGATCTGGGTAGTACTTCTGATTGGTTGAATCGAATTTCCCACGCGGCACGACTAAGAAGCACGATCAATCAGCNATTTTTTTTATATAAAGAATTTATTAGGGTTAGCATTTTGCAGTTTTGCAAGAGTACATTACTCATGAACAAAATGTTTAGTTTTTCCCCTTCCTTACCGACAACAACCCTGTATTCACTTATTATCGGGTAAAATAAGCAGTGTGCAGCAGTAAGCACCCAGTTTGGTCTGATCAGTGAGCCACCACAAGAGTGAAGTCCTCCTATTCTGAGGGAAATTATCCATGGCCAGGAGTTGGCAGTGGCGTTGACACCACCAATCACGAGGCCTCTAAAAGGGCGGACGCCACATCCTACATGGAAATAGAAGACGACTTGTAAATTGCTTGTAACTATAGATTCAGTCTCCTTTAATAAATGATGCTTTCTTAGACCTCTCCATGTAAGACTTCTGTTTTAACGATTTTAAATAGCAATACACTTTTTTGATATTCATTGACATGTATCTATCAAGCCTGAGAAAACAGCCAACATTTGGCGACGCTACCACTGGTTTTCCCGGCAAATGACGTCTGAGAAACAGCGCAGGAACTCCATACTGATGACTCGTCACTACCCAGATCTGGGTAGTACTTCTGATTGGTTGAATCGAATTTCCCACGCGGCACGACTAAGAAGCACGATCAATCAGCAATCAACACTACCCAGTTCTGGGTAGTGACGGGTCATCAGTATGGAATTTCTCCGCTCGTTTCTCAGACGTCATTCCGCGGGGAAATGTCGGCTGTTTTCTCAGGCTAGTATCTATCTGCGTTCCGTGTTTCCTCCTTTACGGCTCGAACTGAGATGAAAAGTCATCTCATGCCTTCAACGTTTTCCCTAAAATTAGTAATTCAAATCTTCCGCTCTCTCATTTGAATCATTTTATGATTATGTTTTCTAAGAGAAGCTTATGACCTACGTTATAAGGTTCAGATTCTAAACAATGGCGAACTTACGTAGCCACTTTTTTGAGACGCAGACAGCAACCGGAAAAGGAATGGAACTAGTTCTAGCGTGCTATGACGTCAATGTGATGACTAAAATACTGTACTGAGCACCAGGAATGAGAACTTTTAACTTCGACTTGCCGTCCGTGACTTAAGTTCGCTAATTATATGCACCTCTGTTATACAAAGACTTGGATGTGTGCAAATGAATATAGGTCTCAGACATATGTAACACAAAAAAAATTATTCGGATATCACATACCCGGCAAGTTGAAAAATGCTGAGGTTCCATTCTCTGGACCTGCAAAGAATGGATACGATGTAATACCAGAGTTTTGGCGCGCGCAGCAGCTCCATAAGTAAGCCACATAGTAACGTATTAACAAAATGTGCTAAGGAATACTCGAGTCTCCACAAAGTGTGCAAATGGTTTAAAAAGCTACAAAAATCACTAAGTGAAATCCTTTTCGAAAATGCCTGCAGACTTAAATTTTGACAAGACGAAGGCCTGGTATTAAATCAGTTAATTGCTTATAGTATGGTACTACTTAGTGTAGCTCAACGAAGGGAAGATTGACAGTAAATCATTTTTGAAACCCGAAATATACGTTTAGAACTGAATTTTGCGATGTTCCTTGGTTACCAGTAAGATTACATAGATGTATCTTTACGTTTACCTTCGATTTCAGGACCTTCCACTGAGAAAAAAAGGAAAAAAAAGGATAAAAAAGGATTTTACACTAAGTGTCGCAATAAAGCAAAAACAATATCATTAAGAGAAGCTTCACTCACCATAAACTCATCACCGTAGCTACTTAAGGTGTTTCGATACAGTTTTTCAGAGGCAATACCGATATTTTTCAATCGGCTTAAAAGTGGTTTTGTCCTTGTCCAATCGCTATAACATTTTCACCAGTAATTGGCTATGGATTGAAATTTGTGAAAATTTAGCAGTGAGATTGATTCACTGCAACACCTTGAAATTTCAAGACAAACCTGTGCTAAGAACCGGTCAAAAATCCGCGCTACAACATGCACCGTTTTGACGTTATGCTAATTCTCGGCTTGCACTGTCACGAAATGAAAAATAAAGATGCCAACCATTCAATACAGAAGGACTAGAATCTGGGAAATGAAAAAAGATAAATATACAAAAACCCTTGCCAAGAATCAAGTCTGTGAAATATTTCAAATGCGAGATATTGGGAAAAACGGTTTACCTAAATTTATAAACCTTTGTATGGAAACGCCATGTTGGTGTCCCGTTCAGGAACACCAATATGGCCGCCGGATACCAACAGAAACATCTGTTTTCGAGTTTTCCTACTAATGCGTGAATTCTTCGCTTGAGGAACTCATAAAGATTACAGTAATATTTATTCTGAGACAAGGAATGTTTAGATTGCAAAATCTCCCAAAATCGGTAACGTTTTTAACCCACATAAGAGCTTTCCCGGCCGCCAGCTAAATGCCGCGTCACGCGAAAGCTTGGAAATTCAAGCGTCCTCTCTCGCAAAACGAAGAACCCTTTCGAACCAAAAATTTGTTCGTGTAAAGGTGTTTAGGTACTGTAATACCTCGTGAAAGTAGAAACTCAGAAGAATCGATAGTTTCTTAGTTTGATTTTTGGTGACGTCACGTGCAACCCAAGAATTTTTCCAAATTAATGAGGACAATAGATATATGACTAGTACATTTCAGTGTGAGTATTGTCAATGTTTTACATCCAAAAGATGCGATAAATTCAAACTAAAATGTACTAGTCATGGAGGTATGTATAGTGCCCATTATTTTGGAAAAATTAGCATAACGTCAAAACAGTGAATGTTGTGACGCAGAATTTTGACCGGTTCGTAGGATAGGTTTGTCGTGAAATTTTAAGGTGTTGCAGTGAATCAATCTTAATAAAAGTCTCAAACATTTTTATAAACATTATGACAATTATGTGAACAGATTTCAAAAAAATTCGCTCGAGTCGTTTCGGAGATATACAAGAAAGCGCTAAAAGTCCAAATTCTGAATGAAGTTGCACTTATACAGGTGGTGAGAAAACGGGTTAGTTTTCAAGATCGCAACAACGAAAGTAAACCAAAATTTCCCAGCATCAAAAAATGATATTAAGCAGCATTCTGACGCTACTTAAGAATAATTTGAGTCATTTATAACGTTTTTATTAAATAATCTATCACGGCTATTGAAAATTTAAGGTTTGAAATATATTTTCGTTTTAGTCGAATTCAAACATACAGAATTTTTTGCTTCCTACGGAGATTGTTTGCTGAACACCAGACTTTAAGTTCCAAGTGTTGGATTTTCAGTAGCAGGTCTAGATCACACAAAATTGGGCTTTTATCAATTTCAAAGTTGTTTGTTTATTGTTGTCATAGTAATATCGATTTTACTTAAAACTACATTTTCACAAATTTCAATCCATAGCCAATATACTGGTGAAAATGTTATAGCGATTGGACAAGGAAAACACCACTTTTAAGGCGATTGAAAAATATCGGTATGGCCACTGAAAAACTGTATCGAAACACCTTAAGGTGTTGATGTTTCACCTGTCACAGAATAACTTTATATTCCACAAAATATTTCTAGTGTTCATGGTCTTTTTACCCTATGGTATGACGTCATACTATAGGCTATAGGTATGGGTATGTACCAAAAATTCACTCACTCACTCACCCACTCACTCGATAATAATGAATTTATGCATTAAACAGGGATTATTATTCATTCAAAATAATTCCTCGATTCTGATTGGCTAAAAGCACACGCATAATTCACCATAACCAGTTACTAATGACCAAATTTGGAAGAATTTTGTGTTTAGGGAGGAAATGACGTCAAAAATGCAGCGTTTTTGCAGGTTATGAACCGTTTACCGAGAAGACCTGTGGACGAAGTTGAGTTGTTTTGGTTGTGGAAACAAAAATGGCGGACATTTCACTCGTTTCAAGAGTAAGAACTAGGCGAAATAATGGCTAAAAACATGCCAAGAACAGCAAGAATACAACTCGAAGAGCAACATCTGCTATTTGGAGAATATTTGCAGAGCTGAACAACCCTAAACGTTCACTAACGAAGATGAACTTAACATCGATGGATCGATGGAGGTAAGCATGTTTTAGCCACGTTTTTAGATTAGGAATTATTTTGAATGAATAATGTAACAATTATTGAATTCGGCTTTCGTATCATATGAAGAATTATGAAGATCTCGGAGGGTGTTATCCGATAACACCCTCCTCGATCTCCAGATACTTAGCCTCATTCATTAATTGTTAATTAAACGCATTATTCCCTACTCTCCCCTACTAGATTTAATTCTATCACCATAGACTTCCCTTTGTCCTCTGTTCCAATATCTGGGCGGGGAGGAGGGAGTGGGACAGAGGCGAAAATTTTTTCTTGGGTACATGGAGATGTCATTAAAATTCAAAAAGACTTCCGATGCGAACCGAACGGGAGAATTATCAAGAAGGTGGTTTTTCCTTCATTTCGCTCCATCCCTGATCAAAATACACTTTCGTAGATCTCACAAATAAAGAGGGAATGTACGAAAGAATACTCAACTGGAAGTAAAAGAGCTTCAAAGCCTTAAAAGCGACGATGACAACAGTCGTAACGATCGACAGTTGCGTGATCAGATAAATCATATCAGTTCATTTGAAGGACGAGGAGTCGATCAGGCGCAGGAAGAATGCAAATTTTAATTTAAAAAAATGCATTTGCACTTTATACTTAGGGTGTGTTCCTTTCGGTGAAATTTTAGATCTTAAAACAGATTTTGTGTTCCTTTCGGCAAATCCAAATCCGGATTTTTGAGCTGGTGAATCCTTAAAGGATTCATTGGATTTGAAATCCGGTCAGTGTAAAACGCAGACTGCGGGACTGCGGACGGCAGACTGCGGACCAGGGGTAAAATGCAGACTGAGTGTAAAATGCAGACTGCAGGCTAAGAGTAAAACGCAGACTGGGGTAAAATGCAGACCGAGCATAAACTGTAGTCGTTGAAGGGTTTAAGGGCAAAAAAAGCCCCCCAATACATGTAAACGAACACTTACTTAACGACATCTGCTCGCACAAATCCATTCCTTTCTTCTCTGGAAAGTCGTCGATGACCCGAAAACATCATCGCAATCTTGAACCTTTTTTCCGTCCGAGAGACTTCACGCTTCAACTTTAGATGCGAAGTTTTCGATATACGTGACCAGGGACCGTGAACTGGTACAACACCACGATGTTTACTCTTAAATGAAAGCTGCTGACCCAAAATACTGTACAGGAAGAATTATGGCAATAAAAAAGGAGTAAATCATTCCAACAACAAAGAAAGATATTCTGCAGGAAATTTGGATGACCTTCTATGAAAGTATTGCAAATCAAGGTACGCAGACTTAAGCTGTTTGGATTTTCATTGAAACTTCTGGGGAATGTGCAATGCACTTCGACTAGGAAGCGAAGTGTGTAACTGATACCGGCTAGCTATTTCACCGACTTGGAGAAGAAGGAGCACAAATGTTTAAAAATGTCTATAGTCTTTATTCTGCATTTTGCACCCAGCCTGCGTTTTACTCTCAGTCTGCATTTTACACTCAGTCTGCATTTTACCCCTGGTCCGCAGTCTGCAGTCTGCAGTCCGCAGTCTGCGTTTTACACTGACTGATTTGAAATCCGAAGAATCCAAATCCAGATTAACGGTTAGTGATCTACGCTGTTCTATTCACTATGGATCCGAAATTAGTCAGAGGATCCAGTTGCAGTATTCCCGTATAGTTTCCTCGTTGCTACCATTTGCCGTAAAACATCTGAAAACACTGGAAGATTGTTCCTGGTACAGCACGAAAATATCCATATACTAACTATAAATAAAAGGGACAGATGAACTGCTATCTTTCTACAAACTCGCTTGTGGGCTCAGTAGGCACTCGATCGTGTTACATAAAAAACTGAGCTACGAAACTGGATCAAACTGAGCCGACAACCTTTAGATAATTTTCAACTTTTACGCGCTTCTTTCTTGATCTGTTTATGTTCCATCGTCGCTATTCGAACTGCCGACCACAAAATTCTGCACCGTATAGTCGCATAATTTGTCAAACAGTAGAAAACACGTCTATGGTGGCCTAGAGCTGCCATAGGGATTTTCTTATATTTTCAGCTTTTTTCTTTTATATGAAGGGTTTTAGTTATTTTATTTTGAAAAATTGTGAAAAGAGAAAAAGAATGGAACGTTGTGCGTTAAAATGGCGCCAAAAAAACTGCCAAATACAAATCTATTAAATACGTTTCAGTTAGTACCACTGACTCGCATGTATGCAAGGCATGCAATTCTCAAAACTCGATCAATGCAAGACTTCTTGTTGACTCGTAATTGAACTAATCTGAAAGAGTCCCACTAAAAGGGGAAAGCTCTAACTCGCTGGCTTTGAGAGGTGAAAATGGAATATGCCCCCAATAATTTGCAAGTTAGAAGACAACTAATGTATGCTGTAGTAAGCTGATAAAAATTTAAAGCAAACTTATCCCTGAAAAAAAGAATAAGTGACGTTTATAATAAGTTATTCTTGAAACTCCCAATCTCCCCTTTTTTCTTCATTAGGGCTACTTTAAGCACACAACAGATCATTTAAGGTACTACAGAAATAGGAACTTTCTTTTTAAAAAAGAGCTTACCTTCTGGTGCTTCCTGGGCCTCTGAATGAAGATAAAAGAAGGAGAAAAAAAGAAAATTAATGTTTGAAAAGAACTTTTAAAGAACAGGTTTGCTACAAGAAATATCTTAAACCTGAGAAATGGATAACGGCCTTTAGCAGGAGAAATGCAGTAAACCAGATCTTTGACACCATGTTTCAGAACGATGAGACAAACTCGAAATCTGATGGAGCGTCTTAGTGCAAGCCCTGCATTTATTCGGTGTCTCTGACTGGCAACTGAAAGCTAATACCAGTTGAAGTACTAATATTGTTTGTGAACTTACTAGATCGTGTAAAGAAATGAATATAAGAAGCAGTATTCGCGTCTCACCGACGTACATATTTAGCCCGATATCACCCACGTGTCTATTATTGACGTATTAACAAGATCATCTAAAAATACCAGACTCTTAATTAAAATTAGAATGCCTGACTGTTCACAACAACGATCAAACCAATACTGTATCTGATAACAGAGTCCATTTACAATGTTTTCAAAAGAAAGGCCTGTCTGCAGGAAATTCAAAACAAAATAATATATAGATTTAGCCAGGGCTAAAAGCGAGGCTCCCATTCATAAATTTATAATTTAAATCAAACACTAAACTTGTATTCCACAATTCAGTTAACTTTAGAGCACATTCATGTGACTTTTGAGGGAAAGGGTAAGTGATTTTAGAGAAAAATAATTTGCAAACATCCCAAGATAGCCTCATACATACACCCCCAAAATAGCAATCATCTTCGATAATGGCTCTTCACTCATCGCCTGGAAAAAAAATCAGGCCGAATTTTTTGCGTTCGACAAGTTTACTTTACAAAATCTTGCAAACAGATCTGGGTGCGCGTAAATCAGCCTTTTATACCATTTAAACATCACATCTGAGGTGAAACAGTACTATGAGGCACTGTTTTTATCACACAGACCTCGGACAGAATGCAGTATTTCACAATTTTGCAATACAAAGTACACTGTAAATTATCACTTAAATTAATGCCTTTTTCTCAAAGATTTTTCGACATGATTTTTGTCGCTAGTTTTTCACTTCAGAAATTCAGAAATTTCTATTATATAGCCTGTGTTGGTGTTCTTGTATTTTTAACATGTTATCACAGATTTAAGCAACTCACAAAAACATCTCTAAGAGAGTCTAATAACTTTATTGTTATTTCACGAACAACGTCCCTTCTAAGCACTTTTTAATTTGATCTACGAATTACCAATGTTTGCCGTGCGTTATCTGTGGAAAACGTATGTAATGAAACCTCGCGACAAGTGAACCATCAAAAACCACGTGCTTGCAAAACAAATGGTTCTTCAAGGCAGTCACGCTGCGTAGTGACTGCTAAATTGCATGTGCACTGTAGCTCGTAAGGATGGTTCGGCGGCCACAGGCAGAGTAAAAACTTCTACAGAAATTCTCGAATTTAGTTTGGCCAAATTAATTTCTGTGCTATTTCTGTCCATTCGTAATTGCTTTATGTGTTGATTTAGTTCTACCAGTAATGAATATTTTTTAATCTTTTGTGCATTAAACGTTGAAAGTCACCATGTGGGAAAATGCAAACACGATTCTGTCGTGCTCAATCTTGGACAGAAATTACAATAGTCCTCGAACCGGCCAATCTTCATGAACGCTGACTAAAATAACAAAGTATATTAAAACATCCCTAAGAACGATAAATATCAAATTCCTGCTTGTCATAACAATGCTTTATAAACAAAGAATGGGAGATAGCAGGTATCGAACTCAGTCTCTTCGGATCCGAAGGTTACGCTTTACCGCACGTACGGGAATAATTATAGAACATGGTACGTCATTTCAATCATTGCCGAAAATAAACCGCATGCTCATCACGAGACTCATTTGCATGCACGATTCACGATTTTTATCCCCAGTTTCCACCGTCTCCGCTAGGAACGCCTAGGACCATGGCCTACCATTTGGGGTGAGGCACACGAAAGAAAACGCCTGCATTTTTAGAGTGAGTCTCGCTCTGCTAAAAGCAGGCTCGACTAAATAACATGATCTTGAATATCTGATTAGAACCTGTTCTCTGTTTAGTTTTGTTATGTCTGTTGCCAGTGGTCACAGTGAGTAACTTCAAATAAAGGAAGACGGTCATGGCGGATATTTTAGTTTCGGTATTGGGCTATTATTTTTTCGCGTCAGTATTACATCTGCAAGGTTCTGGCACGGTTTTCTATCGAAGTTCTGTATGGTGGCTTATACATTGCGCATGACGAAAAAATGTATTTTTGAACGACTTATTTGAACCTATTTTAAATTCTCAATGCACAAAAACTTGCTTCCAGAACTTAAAAACTTACTTGGAGTTCAAAATATCTGCCGACGACTAGAAAACCGATCGAAGCTACTAATATTTGGAGGATTTCCAAATTGTGCCACTTTTGAAAGTTGATATGTTGAGATGTTTTTCGGAGATCATACCGATATCTTTCAATCGCCTTAAAGATGATTTCATCCTTGTCCGTGCGCTGTAAAATTTTCACCAGTGATTGACTATGAATTGAAGCCTACTGCAGCAGTATCAATTCGCAAAATCACAATACGATTGACGCGATTGATCATAAACGTGCCAATTCGTGACCATTCTTGACCGTCTCATCAGTCGCTGCAAAAAAAAAACTGACTCACCATTGTCGAGAGGTTATTTTGGCAGTTGGGGACATGCGTTAGTGGCCGTTGCCGTTGTGGAGAGGTTTAAATGAGAGTAAATGTATGGACTGTCCGTCGGGACAAAATAAAGTGGCCTTTGTAGAGAGGTGGCCGTTAGAGGAGGTTCGTTAGTTTGTAACTCGAATTAATCTTAAGTTAGCCTGCGTAGCACCGCTTGGAAGTAGTGGGCGAAAGACAGAACGGGCGCGCGCGAGGGAGACACGCGAGGGGTGATTGAGCTCCCTCTCGCCTCGCGTGTCTTCTCGCGCGCCCGTTTTCTCTTGTGCCAACTACTTCCAAGCTACGCAGGCTTATCTTAAGTAGCGTCAGAATGCAGCTTTATAAAATCATGTTTCGCTGCTTGGGAATTTTTGTGTATTTTGTTTCTTGCGATCCTGAAAACTCAGTAACCTGTTTTCTCTCCCCCTGTCTAAATGCAACTTTATTCTCAATTTTGATTTTTAGTGCTTTACTTTATATGTCTAAAACGTCTTGACCGAATTCTTTTTAAACCTCATTACACGATCTTCACGATGTATATAATAATGTGGGAAACTTTCATCAAGATTGATTCCCTGCAACGCCTGGAAATCTCAAGACAAACTTAGCCTACGAACCGGCTAAAAATCCCCGCTTTAACATTAACTGTTTTGACACGATTTATCCTTCGCTACACTACTGAGGAGATTACACAAAGTAATTCCTTTTCCATAGAACTTCCACTTGCAAACACCGTTTAAAGCTGATCGAGCCGTATTAAACACTGATTCAAAGATATATTTCAGAAAAATAACCGGGCTATTGATGCCGGGTAAAAAAGCAATTTTAACGCATTTCATCATATTGAAAGAACATATGCGCAACAAAGGCGATACGACTGGTCTGCGAAGTAGGACCCAAAACAGTGTTTTCATACCTCTATTTCCGCTGTTATTTTGAAGTTATTGCTCCATTTTCTGTTAAATGTACTTCTAATTTGAAAATTTATCGCTAAAAACATTTCTTGACCTCTTAAACAGCCGCTAAAACAACCGGGCCAGGTTTGTGGCGGTTTTTTTTTTCATAGTCAGAATGTTGTCTAGAAACACAAAATGCGCGGTGACGTAACAATAGTAACGTTAGGGTGGCCACTATCGCGATTTATACAATAATGTGAAAGCTACCCGCGCTGTGATTGATCTTTGCCGATGATCTATTACAGTTTATACAATAATTATGTTAATGCTACGCGTGCTGTGATCGGCCTCTGCTCATGATATATTAGAGTACAGATACATGGATGACGTCACGGGAAACTTGTTTTCCTTGTTTTGTTCAACATGGCGCGCGGTTTTGAAAATGTTTGTGAGATTATTTCGGATTAAAGCAAGTGAAAACCTCGAAAAAAGTTTAGCAGGAGCTATTTACAAAAATGAAAATGAAGAAACCGAGACAAAAAGAGCTCTTGACTACTCGAGAATACCTAAACTACAAGAAATCTTCACAACAGTTGCCATCGTGTGTCATTGCTATGAGAGACTCGCTGTTTTGCAAATGTTTTCGCCGTTACTCCTTTTTAGTGAGCAACGTTACCTAAACATGTAGTTCGTTTCAAAATCATACACTCAATATGTTATTTCAGATCCATTACAAACTAAGGCCATTTTATTTGTGGGCGAGCTGTTTCCACGCCTAAAGTCAGTTCTAGAATCACAGTAACCATTCATTCTGTTTCCTCTTTAACAATGTAGGCTTTCGCTTTCTTGCTCAATACATTGTTATCAAAACTGATGGTAAAAAACCTGTCTTCTCCCCAAATGCTCGGGAAAGGAGTAGGTTTTCTCGGTGAAAGAGGCCACTGAGGTGAGACACAAAACCTGCAGCTTTTTGTCGGCTTTTTTCGTGGGATGATCGGAGATGTATCGGAAGAGACCGCGAAAGCGCCGGAAACTGTCGAAGCAGCGTTTTCTGGTTGTGGCGTAGAAGAGTGACTCTCGGAGGAGCTTTCTGGCGATGGTGGTGGAGTCGTGGTACTTAAACATTGCTTGGAAATCAAAGATGGCAGATGATTGATTTGACTTCTTTTGCTTGTTTTGTCGTTTAATTTAGCCTTGATGTTCAGAGAAGGAAGAAATTCTTTCTTAGCGGTTGCCAGTTTCTCCCCTCCTTGTTTCCTTTTTAAAACTGCTCTTTGACTTGTTTCTTTAGCTTGGATGATCGGTGGAAATCTAGTTTTGATGCCATCGTCACTGACCAACGAATTAAGGCTTTCTGTAATAACAGAAAGTTCGTTTAATTGTTCATTGCTCGATGATAATCCACTTCTGCGTTCTTTTGGCTTTGCAGAATTTTTTTGCTTCTGAGCAGATTTTTCCCGACTTCTTTTTTGCTCCTGTTGATGTGCAATTGAGGGTGATTTTGTTAACTTTTTTCCTTCAGCCGAACTTCCCTTCTCTTCCTTGAACGGGTCCGTGAACTTGTCCATCACCGTTT